CTCTGTTACTGAACTGTTTTTTGATACTGGACTTTGATATTTGGATTATCCCTAAACTGAACACTGACTGCCTCACCTGTGAATTACTTTGGACTGCTTATCTTGGACTGTGCTTAAACGTTTATTGGAAGTAAAAACCTACATTTACTGTACAATGTATCTGTGTGCTGTGTGTGTATTATTCTTCACTTCTCTCACTATGTCTCCCTGTATGCGCTCATTCTCCTAACGGGGAATTACCTCAACACTGGTTATGGGCCCAGGCCATACCAGGCTCAGATAACTGACAGTTAGTGTGAATATACAGTACTCTATACAGACAGCTGTTTACTGTTTAATTGTGGGTTACTATCCTGGTAAAGATGGCACAAGACACTTCAACAAGTCTATCACTGATAACCCGGTTGGATGGAACAAAGTATGTTTCCTGGTCTATGAAGTACAGTCTACTTCTGTGTAGAGAAGGGTTATGGAATGTAGTTCAGAATCCACCAGATGTAAATGCTTGGGATCCAAATAATGAGGACGATGCCACGAAGCTTGCTGAGTTTAAACGGAACAATGAACGAGCTCTTTGTATAATTGGACTAACACTGAGTGACCAGCAGCAAATCCATATTCGTGGAGAAGAGTCTGCTGCTAGGTGTTGGGAGAATTTGAAGAGGATTTATGTTCGTGACAGTGTAGGTGCACACATACATCTTACACATAAACCGTTTAGAGCACGTCTTCTGAAAGGTGGAGATATGTTAGCTCATTTGAACTTCATGAAAAGAACTTTTCAAGAGCTACATGAAAAGGAACTGGTATTTTCAGAGCTGCATCAAGTTTACATCATTCTTTCCTCATTGGATGAAAGTTATGATGATTACATATCTTCACTGGAAGTCCTGCCCAGAGATAAACTGACATTGACTGACATAACCAGAAGGTTGTTAGAAGAAGCAAGAAGACGGCTGGATAGGGACCAATTGAGGAAGGAACAACCACAAGAAGAGGATTTGTGTTCAACTGCCAATACTGTTAGGAAATGTTTTTCTTGTGGGACTAGGGGACATATAGCTAGATTCTGTAAGAAAGGAAAAAGACAGAATACTGGTAATCACTGGAAGGCCAAGAAGAATGTTAGTTTAGCTATGTCTAGCAATTCAACTATAAACCATGATTTGTGGGTGGTTGATAGTGGAGCATCGCAATGCATTACTAAAGATAGAAAGAGTTTGTAAAGATGTCCACGAGTAAGCAACATGTATCATTGGCAAATGGATGGAAGATGAAAGCTTCTGGTGAAGGTACTACATATTGTTCTTGTGTAAATGAGCTTTTAACAATGTTATATGTACCTAAACTGAAATTTGTTATCAGTAAGGGCTTTAGTTAACCTTGGTTAAGTAGTAACCTTTAGGGGAGATAACTGTATAATAGAGAAAGAGGGTA